TTCGTACATGTCATAAAGCGCGACTATGGTAAGCGTTAGAAAGATCCCATAACCGCCGATCCCATAACATTCCCGGTTAAAGTTACAGCCTATAGGTATACGTCCGAGTGCTGGGCACAGGCCTCCTCTCATTTCTGAGAGGGTTTGAGGGCAAGGAATACCGCCGCACTGTCCCAATGCTTGTTAACGAACTTCAGATGATTATATATATATATATATATATATATATATATATGTATATATATATATATATATATATATATATATATATATATATTAGAAATTAATCGTGCCAATGGTCAAACCATCCGCTGCAGCCCTTGTATGCCTATGTCCAAATTTAAAGCAGACTACAGAGCTGCATCTCTAAGGACTGAAATCGTGTGTGACAATAATAGTAATCACTTTTAATTAAATTCCTTATATTCCTTCCCTATTAGCAAGAAAAATAAAAAAGTAATTAATGTAAGTCTGGATTAATTCATGCAAATTAAGTTAATTAATTATTACCAGACCTATAATTAATAGTTCATTTTTATCTCTGAATGATGCAATAGCAGCTACGCGTTGCCAGTCAAAATACTAGCCCTCCGAAATATGTAACGAACGTATTAATATAGTGAGTCAAGGCTGATGTAATACTTTCGATGATTTCAAAGTTCATTACATAATAATAACTACTTCTCTAAGCTTTTACTTAATCACTTCTCATTTCATTTCTTGTCTTTGAGATATATTTACAGGGGTACTATGAGGTATGGTGTTTTTAAAATGAAGGAAAATCAATATTTTTCTGATTACTTATTCATAACAGCCTATATAAATCCACTGGTGAACATAGGCCTGCCTCATAGACTTTGCCTCATAGAGGAAATTTTGCCATAGTTACCACGCCTGGCAGGCTGATTGGCAATAGCAGTTTTTTATTATTTTAAGTCGTTATCAGGGAGATGCTGCTGTTTCTGTCCATCTCCTGTTTCAGTTTGCCTCTTTCTCCTCTTACGACACGCACGAGACGATATGGCGTACGTAGTCGTTATTCTTACAACGCAACTATACGGTTTCTTTTACATTCATATTCCTTCATTCTCACCCTTTTACTGTATATTTAGCATTCCATTTTAGTCAGCATTCCATCTTAGTCATTACGAATGACAACGCATCTGCATTTTGATTCTTTATTAAGGATTAAGGACGTAGATGTCTATGGGTGACAGCGACCACTTACCATCAGTTGGATTGTGTGTTCGTTTGTCACCCTATCCTATAAAAAAAAGTTTCTTGGAGGAGGCCTATCTTCAGCAGTTAACTTGTGATGGGCAACAAACTTGAAGATGATGATGAACTAAAGGGTGACAATCCAACTACAATTACTCTGTTACCATAAACATCTCAAATAAATGATTTCAAACGAGACATTCCACCTCTGTCCTCAGAGGTGACTAAGCATTTGCATTTTGATTCTTAATCGAGGATAAATGTATATGTCTATGAGCCACTGCATCCACTTACCATCAGTTAGACTGTGTGCGTTTTTTTTCTAATTTTCTTATTATATTTAAAAAATAAACCTTTGTGTGCGTGTTTTATTCATTTGTATGTTTGTTTGATAGCAAACTACTTTCGTTTCGCTTGGATTATGTTTAGTTTTTTTGATATTAGTGATATTATCTCCAAATCCAAATCTTCTTTGGCCAAATCGTTTTAATTACAATAAATGCTTTCTTAAAACAAAATAAAAACCGATCTTACTATAAGTTACTAATTGGAAAGTTAATGTGAAGCCAGATCGACTTGCGTACACACTTCTCAAATAATATTTTATTGTTTTTTGACAAAGGTATTAAATTATAAACAGTCTTAACAAAACAGCATAATCTAAGTGAAATCTCTGTACTCCAGCTCGATGTACAGACATGTCAGGGTAGTACTTATTTTTTTCCATAGGGGTTCGGGCCCGCAGCCCTGCAGCGGCGAAGCCTAGCAGCCGTCACTGTTCACGTAAAAAATAACACAATACAATATTTATTTAAGTTATTTAACAGGAAATATAGTAGGTAATATCAATACTTATTTTTTGCTTTTGTAAGATTTTTTGTTTTATTAATTTTTATTCTTTATTTAAGTCACATTTATATTAAACAAATTTTAATTCTAGAACAAGTACTGATAAAGTAATAGTACAATATCCCTACGACCACAACTTTGCTACAAATTAAATGATAACAAAAATTATAAATTAATATTAAGTTTATTGCTTATGAAATTGATTATTTAACTTACGCGGAATTTAGTAGATAAGATATAAGAAAATAAGTGTCCGTGATAAAGGATGTTTTCGGTGTAAATTTTCGGAATCCAAAAATATTCTAAAATAATAAAACAATCATTAACTACTTAGTAAATTCCATTGTTGTTGGTAAAATCAAATTAATTTCTTTGTAATCTTAGATATTTCAAGCATTGAATTTATAAATCTATTAGTGATCCGCTCCGGCTTCGCACGGGTGAATTCTCAAGCTCGACAACAGCGCCACCTACCGAGTCTAATTGTGGATCTAAGCCATTCTCGAATCAACTTAATCACACACATTAAAATTGGTTTATCCGTTTTGGAGGAGTTCAGTCACATACACATGTATAGAAGAATTATATATATGTATATTTCTTCTGTACATATATATGTGTATTATACATATAAACCTCTTGAATCATTCTGCGTAGTTAAAAAGATCTAAGCGTGTACGTTTACGCTTACGGCGGGCAACGGTTCTGTTTTATACTTTGCAGAGATAATCGAATAAAAAAAATCTGAAAAGATCAGAGATCGCGTTTTTTTAAATGTAAATAGTTACATGCCTAGAAAGATTTCTTCCTATATCGAGGAAGCATTTTACATAAATAAATTGCACAAGGTTGGATATCCAGACGCGGAACAATTTATTTGTAGGCTATCACACTTGTTCCGTTCGGGATTTGAATTCGCGGCCACAACAAAAGTTTTGGCCACTGAGTTAAAAACAGCATAAACAATACACATTGAAATTATTAGTTTTCATCTAATGAATCTTCTTTTCTTAATTTGTTTACAAGTTCATGCCTTTTATCCGATAGCGATCAATGGAGCTGTCTGCATGATGTTGTTGAACAAAACATTGACAACTTAGCAGAAGCAATTTAACTAAGTGGTGATTTATTTGTTTACAATTCGTTATTCGCAGTTTCCTTATTGCAACATAACACCTCTCTCAGAACCAAAATAAGTATTTACGTTTTCTTACTATAGTTTCTATTTATTGTATAAATTTAAAATTATATTAAAATAGTTTAAAGGTCAAGTAGAAGATCATTATTATTATTATTTAACGTTTATGTACTCTTAGTTTTATAGATTATCCATAAATCTGAAAGAATTTTTTTTTATAGGATCGGGTTACAAGCGAGCACACAGTCCACCTGATGGTAAGTGGTTGCTGTGGCCCATAGACATCGAGATCTATCCTCAATAAAGACTCAAGATGCAGATGCGGTGTCACCCGTGAGGACTAAGATGGAATGCCACTTTGCCAGTAAAAAGGGTCTCCGGTTCTCTACACTAACACAGCAGCGTTAAGCTGCTATTTTACGCTGGTTTTCTGTGAGAGCGTGGTCCTTCCCTGGTCGAGCCGACCCATTCGTGCTACAACCATAATATAGCTGCAGCATGGCTCTACCACGTAGAAAATTAAATTAAAGCCACGATAAAATATGTTAAAGTGGTATAAATTAAAATTTGGCCTAATTTTTCATTACTTTTGTCATACTATACATTAATGATATATAAATATAAATTAAAAAGTACTGTAATTTTGTACCTACTATATTTAGGTTTTAGTTATGTTTAAGTTAACTTTGTACTTTGTAAAATTATCATTGTTATAATTTTATCTATATTAACTTTTTTCATCGATTACCCTGTCAAAATCCGCTGCTGAATATAATCTACTCCCATATATTGCCTGGTATTGCCATAGTTGCCACGCTTGGCAGCCGGGTTGGCAGAGCGTGGTACCTAGTTTGTTTCCGTCTGTCGCCTCTCACGATACCTGCTTTTGTTGTATTAACACCAAACTTTCACATTAAAACTATTCTTAAAATAATATTCAAAAGTTAATGATTTATCATAAACAGATGAATTAAAAAATATATGAATAGCAAAAAAACTTTGAAAGTAAAATTTAAAAACTAGTTTTTCATTCAACATGTAAACGCAGAAATATTTGTTTTAATATGTTTTAAAACTTCCATATAATAATTTATATAACTCCGATTATAGGTATTCTTATTTATAATAATAAATTATAATTTATTATAACGTTATGAATTATTTTCAACCTTTTAAATAGATCCGCTATATGTCTTTCACGAGTAAGAATGTTATAATATAAGTACTATATGTTATATATATATATTGTCGAAACATAAGAGAATATAAATTAGTAGTTATAAATGTTAGAACTTTACTAATTTTAGGTCAAAAGCTACTTTTGAATTGAATACCTATACGTAAGTCAATGTTCACTTGTTTACATCTTCAGAAGAAGAACGGTTACTATAAGAAATCACACCAAAACTTTAAAACAATAACATTATAAAACAGTTTTATATAATGACAAAGTAACGACATTCAAAGCTCCACACAAATACAGATTCCAGCTAACGCACTTACAATTATTCCATATTTTTATCTTTCCGAGATGTGGTATTATTAGCGGCGGATCGCGGCGAGAGGTTCTGCGCGAGGGGGGAAACAGAGACGGGTGAACGAGTGGGGGAGCGGGCGAGTAGGGGGGAGGCAGCGATTGCGTGCGCAGAGCAGGAGGGTACGTAAGTAGCCACGCCCCCAAGCGCCCATGACGGGTACTTGGAGGGGAGCGCGGGCCCCCATTCTCTATTTACTCTTTCAATCAGTGCGAGTGTTTGCCCCTGGCCGGCGTGCACGCGCGGGTGATGCGCTAGCCATGATCTCGCAGAAGCTATCGTACGGCGACGTACCGACGTCCGCGTCGCTGTCCTCGCTATCACCGGGCCTCGCGCCACCTTACGTGAACGGCATGGGCTGCATGCCCGCACAGCCCTACCCGAATATATACTCCAACAACATGGTCGCCGGCGGCTCCTGCATGGGCTCTCCAGGCGTGGGCTACTCTCCGCCCAGCACCATGGCCTCCTGTATGGGCGGCGGCGGCGCCGTACCGTACGGCGCGCTCCCACGGGAACAGGAGGCCGCCTCTCCGACATCCGCTCTTCAACGTGCGCGCAACGACAAGACTTATCGCCGCTCCTACACGCACGCCAAGCCGCCGTATTCGTATATTTCTTTGATAACGATGGCCATCCAGAACAATCCGTCGCGTATGCTTACACTCTCGGAGATCTACCAGTTCATCATGGACCTATTCCCGTTCTACAGACAGAATCAGCAGCGTTGGCAGAACTCAATAAGGCACTCGTTATCATTCAACGATTGCTTCGTGAAAGTGCCGCGCACTCCCGACAAGCCGGGCAAAGGTTCGTTCTGGACTTTGCACCCAGATAGCGGAAACATGTTCGAGAACGGATGCTTTTTACGGCGGCAGAAACGATTCAAAGACGAGAAGAAAGAGTCGATACGGCAAGCGCAGAAGGCGGCCCATACACATGGGCACCACAGCTCAGGTCATGAGAAGAGAGGTGAGCATGGACATGAGAAGACAACGGGTGCGGGCGCTGGTGAAGAAAAGGAGATGCGGGATGATTTATTAGCTCAATTGCACGCGGCCCCTGAACTATGCTTGCCTGAACACACGCCGCTAGCGCTGGAGCATTACGCGCAATTAAAACAGGAACCAACAGGTTACGCGCCCGCTCCACACCCCTTCAGCATTACACGGCTGCTCCCTGGTGCAGATACGAAGACAGACCTCAAGATGTATGACGTGAACTACGGCTACGGGCACGCGCCAGCCGACAACTACTACCAGTCGCCGCTGTACCACCATCACGCCCACGCGCACTCGCAGCCGCCCTTGTGACAGTATCCGCTGGCGTAGGCGCCAGGGCTGTGGCCACGCCGGGGGTAAGTCCTCCGGCCAACTACAAAAGCGAAAATCTCATATTGGACTCTTTGTGAGCGTGACTTGTGTTCTTGTGATATCATAGACGGCGCCGCGACGTAAGCCGGGGCGTTGTATAGATATTGTGTAAATATTCGCTATGATTATTTCGAAGTCCGTTTTGTGCATTCTCTTAGAAGGTAGATGTGTGCACGGTGGACGCGCCCCGGACGGCGGCGGCGCGATAGGCCTAACTGTTTCAGAGACTTCTGGAAGTGTCCTACGTTGCCCGTTTTGATAACTCGTTAGTATACCAACTCTTATTAGAAACTTGAATCTATGGTCAAAATTTTATCGTTGCTATCTTATTTGTTGACTACAAAAATCTTTATTATTTGTTGTTTAGAAAAATGCTATAAGATTAACGGTAGGACTTTTTCCTATTTGTTTCCAAAACAAAAAGCTTCTATTTGATATAACAACAACTAATACGATCCATATCATACAGTTATCGGTCTCTATCTATTGAAGTTCAGATAACATAGTTTTATAGCGCGCGTTGAAATCTTTTGTTTCAAAATAAACAATAGTAGGTCCCAATAGTAATTGTATATGTGTCCCAATAGTGTTGTATAAAGTGATTTAATTAACAAAACTAAAAACTTTATATCGTAAGTAACATTTTAGTTACACACTTACTATTGAATATCGCTGCAAATTAAAACAGATTTAAAGTATCTCATAATTTACAAGAAAAAGTTATTTATAAAAATATTTCTGGCGAGTTAAATGTAGGGCAAAATTTAATTTTCAAATTATCAACATTAAATCAATTTATATTTACATCTTCCTCAATTTATTATATTTTAATATTACCTAAACTAAAATTTCACTGTCGTATAATTAAAAAAAAAGAACTTAATAATGGCACGAAATCTATATTCCTTAAATGACAATCGTTATTATGAATTTGCATTTTATTGGTCTACATTAAAATAAATTTCCCTACGACAAAAGAAGCCTATATTCAAAAGTAGCTTATTTATAAGAGCCGTAAAAGAAAAAACTGCGAAACAAATTAACGTGAATAAAAATGTAGAGTTGGTATACGCATGAGTAAGACGGGCGTTCTCATATCGGACCGTTAAACAGTGCAATGTTGTTTGTGTATAACAAAATATGTAAAATATATATAACTAATTAATTAGATAGGCGAAATGGAATTATAGTTCTGTCGACCATCGCAATTAGGTATAGATAACTTGTGTATATATAGAGTATAAGATAAATATAATGAACTATAAGTACATGGTGTTTGGTGTAAGATAGGTACCTATCTACGCTTCTGCACATTCCATTTAAATATATATTTATATGCAAGTTTCAATTTAGCATTTTTAAAATTTCAAATGTTGTTTGGTGAGCGTGCGAACTAGTGTGAAAAGATTAATACGTATAAAAATCGTTTGTTGAACTATACTCTTCATATTGATATTGCTGTACAAAAATTTTAACAAATTTCGTCCATATTTTTACGTAGAATATAGCAGTATAGTTATATTTTTGTTTTAACCTTTTTTTTAAATAGAATTCGTTACTTTTTAATATCATAAAAACAGTTTTTAATCTAAGTTCAGTATCAATAAATATAAAATACTCTTTTAATATTGTATAAAATTTTAATGTATTGCACGATTGCCTTTGATAAGCTGCATAAGTCGCGGCGATATGTATATGACACGCTGATGCTTGATTCGATGTTGAAAGAAAGCGTTGTTTAACATGACTTAAACACTACATCCCCCGATAAGGTGATGATGATGAAGATGTAATGGATGAATGGAAACACAACATTCATATAATAAAGAGTTTGTAATTTATATAATAATATATATATTGTTATTATTATAACGATATAAATTCTTCGCACGCTTGCCAAAAGCTTAATGTGTTCTATTAAAAACAAATATGTGCTAAATTAACTCTTGTAGCTATAAATACATATTAATGTCGTATTACTCGAATCTAGATAGGATACTTATATATCATCTGTTAGTTACAGAGTTAATAAAATTAAGTATTTACAAAAAAAATTATAAAGTGTTTTCTTTATCAGCTTTCGATTTTATTTTACTATATTAAAACGATATACTATTTTTAAAAATAATTTTCGTTCTAATATTTCCTTATAAGAAAAAATATACTCTTGATTTATTGATATAATTTTTTCCTTTTTTAAAAGTTGTTTATAATCTAGAACTACTACTACTTACTCCCTTATAAAGTAATTTATAGTTGAATTTAATGCTTTGTATTGCGTATAGAGAAATAATTGAATAAATCCACAAATTATATTAAAATATATTCATTATAAAGATTATTTCAAATATAATTTACCTTCAAGACAACGTTTAATATGGATATTGAGTTGATTAAAAGCTTCAATGTTAAAAGTTTTCATTCATGTTACTTAGAGTAGCAAATGCTCATGTACATGTTTAAAAGGTTTATTGCGTAATTAACAAATAAAGCCAAAGCGTCGTCCGTACTAATAAAATATAATACAAACCTTTTCTCAATAACAATGTACAGAGTCTTCTGCCGGCGCTAGCCACAGAGAATAATAAAAAAATGAAATAAAATTTGCCTATCTGTGCAACTTTTACTGCCGAACATTTTCACTTTTGTCGGCTTCGAGTTGCGCAAGATTCTATTTCGGTCGGCGTCACCGACGCACGGTTTATCTCGACACTGTTCACTCATAAAACTATAAAAGAACACAAAAGGGTTAACACGTGGACCCGGGGCGTTAATTTGTTGGAAGAAATCAGCAACACTGTGATGTAAAAATGAGGTTTAGAGCCACTCAAACGGGCTCACTGACATTGTTTCTTTAACTATTGGAAGTAAAAAGATTTAAAATTGATTACAAAATTCATATATTTCTTGCGAATCGATAAATATTTTAATGGAATTCAATATGATTATGATCTTAAGATTCCTTCTAAGTTAGTTTACGGGATTTATTTAATTTAGTGAATATTTCTATTCTTACGAGTAACTTGTATGAGTTTTTAAATCCTCTTTACGATACACTCATCATCATCAGTGTTCAGAGTAAATATCACATTAAAAAAATCTCTCGCAAAAAATATTGTATCTGGTATGGATATAGCACAGGATATAGCGTAATTGTTGCAGTCTCTCCAGCATTGCGTTTAATCCCATCGTCGATCTATTAAAATAAACGTTTTTCATGTTATACCTACCTACACGTAGAGATAAAGTCATCGAATATCTTGACTTCATTCTAACATTAGATTGCTTTTATTCTATAAGTGATACATCGAATACGGTTAAACGTGCGTCTGTACATTAACAACGACATATACCTACATAGCAAAAGTACTAGCACAAGCATATACTTAGAACATAGAACCGTGTAGTCGTTGGTAGCCTCAAAAATATTTGTAATATAATAATATTTGTTTGTACATAGTTTTTTTTTAAGTTTTTTTACGTTATATAGCCGCGCGGCAGCGTGTTAGGGCTGCGACATGAATGAAATGCGTTTAAATAACAGCATAACTGCTGTGTTTGTGGGTACTAAGGTATTCTGTGTTGTCAGGGTTGACAAGACATTTTTTTTATAAAACTGAAGTTACAAACGAACTTCAGTCCACTTGATGTCGAGAAACTACTGCTGCCTACGGACACTGATGCTTTGTCACCTCTGAGGACTAAGTTCTCTGAGGAGTAAGAGCTCCACAGCCTGTTATTATATTGATTCTTGTTAAAAATTAATTATTTTGATTCATATCACCTAATTTGTTTCCCTCTGTCGCCTCTTACGACACCCACGGGATGATATGGGGTAGTGAATAATATTCTTACACCGCCACTACACAGTTGTGCACCCATAATAGGATATATTTAAACCATTACATAATATTCTTTAAGTCTTTTTTCGTTTTTTATATTCAGCACCCAGGCCTGATGCAGCGATATTGAAGAGGGGTTTAAAACAGTGTCAAATATTAGCACATAGTACTTCGCGATTTAAATAATAGACCTTCGTAACCAAGGGTCAAATTTATATAAATGATTACAAGAAATGTGAACAACTATAACACGTCCCGTATGCCACGAGATGTGATTGTGACAGGCTGTAGCATCCACTCATCAGGTCGGCTGTGTGTTTGTGTTTCACTCTTTCTTCTCTAAAAATTCCACACTATAACAAGTTTATTATGACGGTCCAGTGAAAATAAAGCCGTATGTAAAAGAAAAACGTATTTTGAAACGATATAGGATGATTTTTACAAATTTTATTTCTGTGATTACTAATAATATAAACTAAAACAATTTGGCAGGACTGAGTGTGAATACTTTTATTGCAGATATGATTATGTTTTAATCACCAAACGCGGTGTGCGCTGTCGCAGTTTCTAATAATAGACGTTGACGTCAGTGATATGCGAATCTTAAAAGGATTTACCTAGCGCTAGAAGAATAAGCTAAAAGGTAGATGACGTCGCAGAAATTTTATATAAGAAAAAACATACAAACATCAAAAATGAAGTTTTTTCGTGAATATTTTTTTTTTCACTAATCTAAGTAAAAAAAAAACTTTTATTAGTGGACGATTTTAAACGTGAAAATTTAAATTTTGTACAATTTTTTTTTCTTTACTCAAGGAACTTAGATAATTTTAGGTTTACTCACTCTTATAAGTTTACCCGTAATATATGCACTCAATAGACTAAAATAAAACGAAATGAAATTGAAAATCTGGGTATAATTTCAAAAGAGTTTTCTTCTTTAAATTTCATTAAAATATCCGAAAAAGTTTCCAAAGTCTCTTTTGATCCGTTAATAATTATTCTTTAATTATCTCTTAAGATATTAGGAACCAATAATATTTTGAAGCATTGACTTATTTCAACGCCGTAGACGAAGTTGTTCAATGAAGTTGTTTT